CTCGCGGGCTCTCTTTCGCGCCGATTTGAGCTGCTCAGAGATCCTCATGACTTCGAAACGATGATTATTCACTACTCATCTGCCGCATGTTCGTTTACGGGTCCTGCATCCATACGATTTGATGCTTCTTTAATGTGGGCTAAATATGCTCAAGCTTTCCAACACCCGTCACTTCTACGTGCTTACAGTGTGGCCCTCGATCTCTTGCCCGAACTAGCTTGGCTCGGATTATCTATCCCTGATCGTCACCACCACTTATCGAAGGCGGACAAGGTGGTTAGAGATGCAGCCGCGACCGCCATTATTTCAGGCGAGTATGCGACAGCGGTGGAGTGGCTGGAACAAGGGCGATCGGTCATCTGGAGTCAGTTCCTCGATCTCCGTACACCCCTCGATGCTCTAAAGCACGAGCGCCCTGATCTAGCAGACCGTCTCGTCTTCCTGTCTATTCAATTGGAAGGGTCCAGTATCCGTGATGGCTACGCAGAGGTGGTCACCGGACCCATTGAATCCTCGCAATCCATTTTGTCTGTCGGAAGCCGGTACCATGAATATGCCCACGAGCGGGACAAACTCCTGGCACAGATCCGAGTATTGACCGGGTTTGAAAGTTTTCTATTGCCAAGAAGAATCACTGAGCTTTCACTGGCCGCCATCGGTGGGCCTGTTGTGGTAGTCAATGCTAGTGAAATTAGCTGCGACGCTCTGATCCTTCTGCCGGGGCTGGGGACCGACATCATACATATTCCACTTGAATTAACATTCGAAGGTGCTGAAGAAATGGGTACTTCTCTGGGTCATTTTGCGGGAGGGACTCGTTCCAGGTTGTTCGGTAAACAAGAACCCGAACCTCCTAGCTCAGATGTTCAGTTCTCACAAATTCTGTCCAAGCTTTGGTCAGTAGTTGCTGAGCCAATTCTCAGGTCACTCGCCATTACAGTGAGCAAATGCCATTGTCAACAATTAATTCTCTAACTATGACCACAGAAACCGTCGACGGAATCTTTGCAACGTGTTTGGTGGTGTCCGACTGGTCCTCTGACACTTCTTCCCATCCACGCTGCTGGTCTCTATGGAGAAGATGAATCATTCGGATCGAAAATATCGGACTTCATCATCTCTTCCTATGCACCTTCACTGACGGCGTTGATTCAAAGCTTCCGCACCAAATATGAGTCGCCGTATAGAGACCAACTACTTATTATCTCTCAGCCAGCTGCCATGGGCCAATCTCCCCTACCTGGTGCCGCAAAGGAACAGAAGATCATTCAACTCCATGCCAAAGACAAGATGCATGTTCTGCATTTGGAGAGTGATATGGCCACTGTTGACGGTGTGCAGAAAGGCATGGCGGAGTCCAGCTGGGTCCACTTTGCATGTCATGGGGTGCAGGATCTCGCAAACCCTACAAACAGCGCCCTGCTCCTTGCTGGAAGCTCAAGGTTGACACTGTCCGACATAATTCAGCTGTCTCTCCCCCACGCCGATCTCGCATTCCTCTCCGCATGTCAAACTGCGACCGGAGACAGGGCCCTTCAAGAAGAATCGGTCCACCTTGCAGCTGGCATGTTGTTAGCCGGATATCGTGGTGTTATTGCAACAATGTGGTCCATTGCGGACATCGAAGCCACTCAGATTGCAGGAGATGTGTATGAAAATCTGTTCCAGACATCTCCGCCGGATCCAACTCGGGCGGCAGAAGCATTGCACTTGGCGGTCAAGAAGCTTAGAGAGGAATACAAAGGAAGAAATCCATTCGTATGGGTGCCATACATCCATGTCGGAGTTTGAACCCATCTGGGGATTTGGGATGTTCTCTCCACAATGAGATGTAAATATCACTCCTGGACCATACATACCTAAAAGATAGCTTTCCTGGGGATGTGGATTTTATTTACTGTTTTTTTTTTTTTGTTTGGGGGGGGGGTTCAGCCAGTGTACCGTATCAAGTGGACGGTGAGCGGAGCGTCGGCCGGTTTTTATGTTCTCGGTGGCTGTGTGATTGTGATTATACAGCAAATCGACGATGTTCATTTTTGCTAGGTTCGGAACAAGCCCCGTTCCGACGACGCCGTACAATGCCGCGTACGCCGAGTGATGCGGACAAACCAACAAACCAAACACGCCTTCGTCAGAAGGGGCTTGCTTCAAACTCCGTCAAACAGAGGACCTAGAAATCGACCTCTAGTACCACATCTCGGCCACCTTGCTTCTTGGTCAATTAATGAAAGTTTTAGTTTATCCACCTGGCTATAAACCTGATTGTTCTCGCATTTACTTCCAGTCTCTCCAAGGGATATAACACATGTCAGATAGTGTGACAGTAATCACATTAATTTTGGTACTCTGAGGGTCAGTTTTTACTCTCCAACGCGCCTTTGTGTTCGGTGAGACCTTCCAAATGCTCCAAAGGTTTCAGAATCATCTTATGGGCAAGTAGACGACGCGTCGAGGTCAGATTACGCTGTGTGACATGTTGTGACATATCACATTCACCGCGTCGGGGAGCCTACACATCCACCATGCCTTCCTGTAAATAGCCAGAATATTTGTGAAGGTCCATTACAAGTCTGCGAAGAGGATCCACCGCAATATTATATGTCTCAATGCACTTCCTAGACATGGAAATGATGATTTTAGAAAATGCAGGAAGAGCCGATCACTTCATGGATTAAAAGACAATGCAGAGTGTGGGTGCCGATAGATATGTACCCGTGTATGCTCAGAGATATCATGTTTAACGGAGTTTGAAGCAAGTCGCTTCAGCGAAGGTCCGGCTTGCTCCGAACCTACATTTTTGAAAATTTAATTTTTTTTGCAACTCGCATCTCAAGTACACGTGATCGTGTCCGACATTCCAGAGCAGCTCCAGAATTAGCTGTTTCGCTCAACCTTGCTTCCGAAATCTGGCCTTTCCTTTGGTCCAAGGCCCTCCTAAACCTTCCTTCTGTCAAAAATAACTTGGTGTCATGCATGTGCTTGTGAGAGAACATAGAGCGAGGCATTTCATGGATAGAAGTGCTCACCTTGAGGTAGTTGATGAGCTTCGCCTCCCACCTTGAAAAAATTGGAGGAGTTCCCTGAACTGTCGGATTAGATACCGATGCAGAATAGAATATATATAGGCAGGAAGCGGCCGTGGTGTATGGTGCACAGCTGATTTAATTAAGGTTCCATAACCAGCAGCTAGACGGGTTTGGTTCCCCGCGGCCGCACATGTTTTGAAAAATCAAATCAGGCGGCAATCTCAGAAATATCGACGTGTGATCATCTATTTAACGCATGAAGGGAAATCGGGTAGAAAATTCTTCAGCTTCCCTCCGTCGTGCAGCGCGTCCCTTACTTCTCTAAAGTCATAACCCCAGGGTTCAGATCAGCGTATCATGCGCGACGTGGTGCACGAGCAGCCGCATAATCCATTCGGTATCGACTTTGTACATAGAGCAGTCTCCCTCACCTGGATATTTATATGTGGCACAACGAGAATCCCTCAGGGGCTCAGCAGCGTTTCCTTCCGTGAGAATGCCTCCGCCCTGCCGGCCGCTCTTATTTGTCTAAAATTCAAGAATACAGTGTGGTATCCAAGTAGTACAGAAACCCAGCTTCAGCATCAGGTATTCGTACGCGGACGTGGTGCACGGTGCACGCAATTAATGAATAATGGGTACTTGAACTGTGGAGCAGTTGCTGGGGTTCGCAAGCACTTTACTCTGAAATATGCAGAAACCAAAACCGTTCACATGAACATCGGGCGCGCATGCCGGCCGAAGCAGATGCTGCGCAGTACTTGTAGTACTTGAGAGCGAAGTAATGTCTTGAGAGCCGGCAGGTTAAAATTAGAGAGGATGCGGATGCCCGCCGGACTTGATGTCAGTCATCGGAGTGGTTGGCCTTCGAGGCATGCCAACGTCCACAGCTTGGCAGTTCATTTCATTGTGCGGAATGAAAAAATCGGAGGAATTCCTGAACCATTGGATGAGAGAAAGGATGAAATGAAGGTAGGAAGTGGACGTGGTGCACGGCGCACCACTGCAATTAATGGCCAATGGATGAGATATTAGGTGCACGCAGTTGAACGAGGTTCGACTCCCCGCGTCCGCATAGGATGCGTGCGACGATCATTTTGCTAAAGAGGAAATCCAAACAGTCCCGGAACCCTTTAGATATATTCGAGGACGCCCGGCGCCGCTCTCAATGGTTGCCAGTCGACGCGCATCGCTGCACTCACCCGTTGCGAGTTGAACTTTTAACCTCCGTTTGACGGACGCTTTTCGACGAGAACGGGCCCGCAACACCTGGATATACTCACCTCATCAAGGGAGAAAGGAAGCGGACGTGGTGCACGGCGCACCACTGCTTCATCTGCACGACTCCCCCCAAACTTCAAGCAGCTAGACGGGGTTCGACTCCCCACGTCCACGTTGTTCTATTTCGATCTCCATCTTTTTTTTTTGTCCGCCGCGGCAAGACCCTTCGAGGGTGGGCAAATGGCAGGGAAATAATCATACTTTGGTGAGGTGTCACGGTTGCGGAGGTCTTCAAGGCTCCCTGTGCGAAGTAGACAAATTAATCAACACCGGAATTCTGAAAGGCAGCTGACGTGGTGCGCAGCATCCCTGCCTGTTAACGAACGCAGCCCGTCAAAAGCCTGGGATATTCAACGCGAGCATTGAGGAAGGGACGTAGTGCATGGTGCACCGCTGTAATTAATGGCCAAATCTACATTCAGCCGTGACGGCAGCTGCTGGGGTTCGACTCCCGCGTCTGCATAAGTATTGATGGTGCAGTTTTTCTTGGGTCCGAACCCTTGAATTTGTTCGTCGTCTGAAACAAGTGGCGGGGCAGGCGTGGTCCATGGTGCATCATTGGTTTGAATCCGCCTAGTAGATATTCCGGGGTGCGACTCCCTGAGCCCGGCTCAGATCTAGACTAGCGTATAAAATTCAATAAAACAGCCCCACAAAGCCGGCATATGGTCAGCATGATATTGGAGCAATGGAGCGGACGTGGTGCACGGTGCACCGTTGCTTTACATGGGGATTGAGGTATAAGCTTAAACAAGCAGCTAGACGGGGTTCGACTCCCCGCGTCCGCATGTTGTCTCCGTCAGTCTTTTTTATTTCTGTCCCGCACTCCCGGAACTCCATTCGCCGTGAGAACAGAGAAAGCGGACTGGCTAGTTACGAGATCCGGTGGTTGTCTCCAAGTCGTAAGTTCTGGTTTTATTGAAGCGAGGCCCTGAAACCTGGATATATTCAGCGGCATAATTAAGAAAGGGAGCGGACGTGGTGCACGGTGCACCGCTGCTTGACATGGACTTTGGCCATTAATGCAATTGCAGCTGCTGGTCAGGGTCGACTCACGTCTGCATGGGCCGCAGCCGTTTACTTTTTTCCTTCGGTTGAGTTCGAGTTAAAGGACATCGAAAGGACCCTGGTGAAAATAAGGGAGGATATCGAAGACTACCGGACGCGAGTTTCGTGGAGAGAGGTGGTGGCACCGGAAGCAGTGGACAGCGTCCGCGGCTTGGCAGGGAGTGAGAAATCTTGAAATGCTGGATGAGATGTCGAATGTGATAGAGGCTGGAAGCGGGCGTGGTGCATGGTGCACCGCTGCAATCGTTGGGTGAAAGGAGTGACGCTTTGGAGTACTTGATGGGGTTCGACTCCCCGCGTCCGCATGGATAAATAGGAATCTTTTTTGTTTTGTTTTTTTGCGTACGAAAAACTCAGCGCCGGGCCCCCAAAGCGGAGGCATATTCACCACAAAATCGGAGGCAGGGGATGGAAGTGGTGCAAGAATCACTGCATGCGAGATCTGATGGGCGTTCGACAGGCGTGTTTCGACGAGAATCGTCCCCCAACACCTCGATTCATTCAACGCGATAATAGGGTAAAGGAGCGGGCGTGGTGTATGGTGCACCGCTGCGATCAATCGGATGTACGAAATTTGATTTGTAAAGCAGCTGATGGGGTTCGACTCCCCGCGTCCGCATAGGAGGCCTGCTACGAATATTTTTTGCTAAAGAGAGAATCCGAACAGTCCCCCGGAAGCGTTTGGATATATCCGACAGGAAATCAAGAGAGGCAGCGCACGCGCATCGCTGTGCGATATTCACTGGCTTGCACGGTCGGGCGTCCTTTGACTGGTTCGCTTTGACGAATACAGGTCGTCAACCCTGGATCTATTCACCACATGAAGGGAGGAAGGAAGCGGGCGTGGTGTACGGCGCACCGCTGCAATTGATGGATGAATCGATTGCTTGTCTGGCAGCTGGGCGGGGTTCGACTCCCCGCGTCCGCATGCAGGAATTGTCGTAAGATCTTCTTTCTTTTCTTTTCTGTTTCCACAAGGAAAAGCTGGATTCATTGAACTGAATAATGGTTAAAGGAAGCGGACGTGGTGCACGGCGCACCGCTGCTTCATCTGGATTGGAGACAGGACCACTTCAAACAGCTCGACGGAGTTCGACTCCCCGCGTACGCGTTCGTCTTTGGTCACATTAATTTTTTTTTTGGTGGTGTTACCCTTTGTGGACTCCCGCAAATTGCAGTTGCCTGCGGTAAGGCAGCCAGGTGCACCTTCCTTGTCCTGATACTGATACTACTACGGACAAGTACGGCCGCTATATAAATCAATCCCTGGGAACTGATGCTAGGTGCGTATTCCCATTTAAATGTCTGCCAGCCGATTACGGTGTGTTCTCTCTGGGATTCCCATTCAAGTTATTTTGGGAAAATGAAGAGGATATTTCGAGGTTCGTATAAATTCCCGAGGCTGAGGATATGTGGGCATGCGCGTGTTCGAATGGAGGTTGAACTTTTGTTGATGCACCTGGTCATGCCGTGGGAAGATCAATCACGATCGCGTTACTCGCACTCTTTCTTTCCTCTTTCTCCTTTGTGTCGCTTCGAAATAGCGATAACTCGGTGGTATGCGGAACGAGCTACTCGCGGGCAGCGTCGGCGGCGCGGCGCAGGTCCTCATCAGCCAGCCCCTGGATACCGTCAAGACCCGCGCGCAGACTCGATCGCACTGAAGGGCATGCTCGTGCATCCATTCCTCCCTTGCGCTTTGTGGTGGGTGGGTGATAGAAGAATATGGGCAGGATAGAAAGGGCCGATGGACATCATCATGCAGACCGTGCACAAGGAAGGCTTCTTTGCGCTCTATAAGGGCGTGTCTCTGATAATCCACTAATTAGTGTACTTGTTTTACGCATCTCGCACGTGCACTCGCAGGCATGGCCTCCCCCCTCCTCGACATCGCCGGCGTCAACTCCCTCCTCTTCTGCCTCCTACGCTGTCGCACGCCGTGCTGTATCCCCCTTTCCCAAGCTGAATCTCCCGCAGGCGCGATGGTGGGCGCGGCGAATGCGGTGTTGGCGAGTCCGGGTGAGTGCACGTCCGAGCGAGCCGTAGGCGAGTGAGGGGCCAGCTCCTCCTCCTGCTCCTGCACCACCACCGCGCAAAGACTCCACGACGTCCAGCGTAGCGGGGACTCCTACCACCCTGTCACATGGCGCCCCTGCCCTCCTCGTCGCAGGCAGCCGCCATCGCCGCACGCATCGTCGTACGCGTTATCCGCGCGCTCCTTGTCGCGCGCTCCTCGGCGCGCTCTCGGAACGCCTTCGCGAGACGCTACGTCATCCAGCCCCGCGTCGACCAGCGTGCACAGAGTTCTCGCCTTCCCCGCCGGGCGTAGGAGCGCCTCCATTGTGTGCAGCAGCTTCTCCGTTCATGTGCACCCGTCCTCGTCATCGCGCGCATCGATGATCATAAGCGCCACGGCGCGCACCCAGTCCTCCTCCGTCCTCGTCGCACGCGCCGCGCGCAGCGGCTCCCCCTCCACGCCGCCACCGTCGCAGCACAGCACCGAACACACGCTCCTTGTCATCATCATCGTCGCGCGCGCATCATAGGACAGGTGTGCGTTGGATGAGTCGATGATTTATCGTCTCGGGTGTCGCAAGGGGATACCTATCTCAATCTCAAGTCGACACTTTTCTCGTGATCCATTGTGCAGTCACAGACCGGGAGCGTGAGATGAATATTATTTTGAGTAAGATCACTCAGCAGGCATCCCGTTCGGCTCAAGACAAGGACACTTGCTGGTTTCTCCCGAGTGAGACTGCCGCTGCATGCGGCAGCGGCAAAATCCCTTTGCCCAATCCCTGTGGGTTCTTTTTTATTTTATTTTTTACAGCGGTTATCTTTCCGCTGACCGTTCACCAGTTTTCTCCACAAAACGAGCTCCATTGTCCCGTCTTCTCTGAACGAAAAGTCGCTGATGAGTTTCTCCCGCACGCGACAGATACATGGCATGTAGTGCTCGCGAAGGGGAGCGCACTCATCTCCAGGCGCGCACCAGCATTTTGTGTCGCACCTGCACAGGCCGGAGGGCTCTGCGACTGCTGGTCCACCTTGTGCGCGTATTACATCAGGTACTCGGTCCCAGCGACCCGGCCTTCAGCACCATGTCGCGATACAGGCGGCCATCGGCTTCAAGCGCGGACACGCGCGCCAGGTCTCGTTGGCAAAAGGAGTGGCCACAGGCCATCTCCGCTCGCGACCTTTTGGTTATCCCATTCATCGCGCACTGCACGCGCCGCTCGTGCGAGCGAATGTTCCTGTCCACCTGCAGGTGTGCGCATCGACGTTCCAGTACCCTCCGCCACCGGCCCCCCTCCGTCTAGTCATGCGCTCAAGTGGCATCTTCGCCTTCTCCCGTGTCTAAGGAGGATGATGGTTGATGTCCAGTTTTGAGGCCGATGGGTTTGTGTCTCGTGGCCGCGTGCATCTCGATATTTTACGAGGGTGTGCAACGTGCGCGCATGTTTCAGGTCGTGTGGATTGTCGTACTCTACCTTTTGGTGGTGCAACGTTGCCGCGTTGGCTTGACTTTCTCGCACCTTCCGTGCCGTTCTCGCGCTCGTGTTGAACGCACGCATTCCGTGTTCGGCGAGCTGAAAACTCGCCGTGCGTGTCTGATCGCGAGTATACAGGACTTTCCTTTGCCCAATCTCCGCTGTGTAGCGCTGTGTTTCTTTTCATATCCCCCAATCTAAGGTAAGTAGCTAATTTCTATTTTCATGATGTATAGTGCTCATTCTCGTTCTTTTGACTGCGCATCGGCCTCGCCGACCTCACTCTCCCGATCCTCGCGGACGCGATACGCGTCGACCTCCTCCCCACTTCCCGCGGCCCTTGTGCTGTGCAGCTGTGGAGGAGAATTACTCGACAACTATGCACCCCATCACGCACCCCTGCAAGTTTCTTCGCGACGACGTACGTTCCTCGTCTCAGAGCCACGGCTGGCCGTGCTCGTTTCATCTCCCTCTTTATAAAATTACGCTGTTCGAAGCCTTTTGAACTCCGCCAGGCCATCGCCGAGTCTTTGGCGTCGAGAGATGCGGAATGGCCGTGGACCACGTATTTGCTACGACCGCGATTTCGGCGCCTATCGATGTTTAAAAGAGCTCGATCGGTAAAGCAGTGGGCTCAGAAACCCGGCTTGATTTGTCTCGAAGGGGCTCCACTGCAGGACCGCATAGGTTGCACTCAAGCGAAGTGCCGGGGCGCGCTCTTGTGATTCATATTTTGATGTACAACCCCTCTACATATCGACCTCGTTTATGATATCCGACAAATTGAATTTTCCCGCTCAACGTTTCAACATTGCCAGTGATGAAAACGCAGACAAAAACGAAGGCGGGAATTCCGGTGCATGCATCCAAGTCTCTATTTGGAACGGTAAGTCCATTCACAGTAAGCCAGCGGACAGAACACATACGTAGGTATTGCGGGAGCGTGGTTGTCATGAACTTCAGGACAAAATCTTGTACTTCGGCTTTCTTCGATGTCATTAAACACAAGAGGAATCGTAGATCCGATGCTTCAAACTCCAATCGTTCTATTGATGCACAGTGGATGGGGTGGAACAGTTATGTTCGGGGAAGACTCACTATGCTCAAAGAGACTGGCAATTAAACGCAAATGGCCCCAGGAAATAGGACTCTGGGAGCTGCTAAGAATGAAGGGAAGGATTTTGGCTAGAACCTCCGCGCGTACTGCATAAAAAATCTCAATAAGAGAG